GTGATTAGATAGCATGATGTTAACTGTCATACGTGATTAGATAGCATGATGTTAACTGTTTTAGTCTGGTAATTATTTTTCTTGCTTATCGATTATCACTATAGAAAATGTTATCTCATATTTGTAGGATTTGAAATGATATATTTCCAGTTTTAATGTTGAATACCCTATAGTTATTGTGCTTCGAAGCCCGCTAATAGTTTTCCCAACTTCTACCCACTAATATCCTGAATACACACACAAGTTATCTACTTTAATATTATGGTCTACTTAAAATATGTCACATTTCATAACTTACAATTCTATAAATTATTCAACTGTCCTAGTAGACTGAAGTGTTACATAAACTTGTCACACTTTTGTAAATAATACAACGACTGCTGTTTTTATTGATCAAAACTAAGAACTTGTTACGGTAGGTTCAAGTCAGTATCTACACATATCACACCAACTGTGCATCTGGTCAATGACCATTAAATTAAAATAGTTCATCAAGCAACTGTAGGTAATAAAATTTATTTCTGGAAACATTATTGCTGACTTTAAACAATAAATGTAACAATATTTATACTTTGGTTTTATAAGTTAATTTAAATTGTATTCAGCAAACAGACATATCTAATAGTTTTTTAAACTTTTATTTTTGAAAGAAAAATAAAGAAATCCCTAGACAGAAAGTTACACATAAAGATAACCTTCCAGAATTACAACAAACTCAGGGTTATGTACAAACTGTGCTGAATTGGATTACAAAAATATGTAAAAATTCAGCTATTTACAATCAATTCATTTTGAAGATAAAGAACTATTCCAGTAAAAGCTACATTTCTTCTTTCATCTGCTCCTCTTGTGAGGGGACCACATCCCCTGTAATTGGTCTTCTAAATAAAAGTATGTGAGGTTCTATAAGAAGACAAAATTTTCTTAGTTGAGACCGTAAACTATGTATATATAAAAGTTTAAAGTTGAATACAGACTACAAATTATTCTCAAACTTTCATTAACAACATACAAGACCATTCTTTCAATATAAAGAAAAAACAGCATTATGAAAGGCAAAACAACTGCATAATGTATAAAATGTTTCTACTACTTCTTATTAAAAGACATATCTAACAACGGCATAAAAGTACAGTAGTAGTTATTGATTAATACAGATAAAATGTCATTTCATTTCAGCTCTAAACTTGTAAACCTAACAATACCCTACGGAAAAAATACATAAGCATAGAAATAAAGCATTCAAGAAATCTTACAATTATAATTAACATAAAAGTGAGATTCATGGATAATATTCGTCTATATATCACACATGTATACAAGTATTATTTACAAGACTCATTTAGCTAATCACTGACACCCTCCAGTTGAGAATGAAGCTCAATTACTACAGAATGAAAATTTAACAGAATTTATCATAGTCCAGTAAAAATCAAACTTTTTGATAATAACCATATTTCTGTATTTCATTATTGTGTAAAATAGCTGCAAAAATAATTTTCGGAGACTGGCCTTTCGGTGGGTGTGTTTTATCATAGCAAAGCTACATCGGGCTATCTGCTGTGTCCACCGAGGGGAATTGAAACCCCTGATTTCAGCACTGTAAACCCGAAGACTTACCACTGTCCCACCGGAGAACCTCGACTTTGGGAAATACATTATCGAGACAAATTTCAAAATGGCTGCCTAAATAACTTCAGACTTATAAGGTTAAGAAAAAAAACAGGTTATATGCACCACTTAATCAATTAAAATAGTCACATCAGTATCTAAACAAACTGCACGTATCTGGTATTCACCTTTAAAATCTATGTAAATCAAAATGTTTGTACTATTTGTCATAAATAACAGATTTGAATGGTTCAACCTTCAAACTAAAGATTTGAAAAAGTAAAGCACAAGGGATCTCGATCTTTGGATAAACAGTTTTCAGCCCAACTGGTATACAAGTGTTAAATAAAACATTTACAATCTCAACTGCTACTGATACTGTAAAAAATGTATAAATGACAAGAAAATATGTGTACACTAACAACTTATATATATGCTGAAAGTGGTTTCAGTATTTAAACACTGACACTTGTATTCAGTGATACTTTAAATGTGGAATAAATACAAGAATTTGTGGTAATCACATCATATAAATTCAGTAGTTACAATTTTCTCTTTTTGAACCCTGACGACACAAGTTTCATATTTGGTACATGTCGTGTATACTAACATCAGAAGAGACAAACAAAACATAACAGAGTACTACGTAATTACAATAAACCTTTATATCTTTCCAAAAAAGGTTTTTGATAAACCCTCAAAAGAATGTGCAATATGTGTAAGTACACATGAATTTATATCATAATGACCAGAAAATAAACATGCCTGTTTGTATTTATATCATAATGACCAGAAAATAAACATGCCTGTTTGTATTTATATCATAACGACCAGAAAATAAACATGCCTGTTT